TTCTTTCGCAATCCTCGATTATTCGCATGGAATCCACACATTCTCAAGCGCTCGTAATTAGCGACATTCGCTAATTACAGCTAGCGTAGCGAAAACGTTATAACGGCACGAAAACTCTTGGATCTCATTGTCACTCACCTTCTCCTCGAGCCGCGGACCGTCTTCCATTGCGTGCATGATGGCATCCGAAATGCGGGAGTCCAACTCCCTGACGGCGATCCTGACGTTCAAACCGTGGTAATCGGTGTTGCCGCTCACCGCCGCGACGAGCCTCTCGACCGCCTCCACGTAACCGGACCACGCGAGATCCAGTTCGGATGCCGGCTCCGTCAGGCAGCCTCTGCAACATTTATTTGCATTTTCTCTCTCCCGTAAGCTCGCAACTCGCGAAATTGAGGCAGCCGGTCGCAAATCACCGCGTGATTATCATACCGATTATCACGCGAATCTAATAATTATAAATCACTCCGTAATAATCTCCCTATAACGCGGATAATTATAAATCTTGCTGTTACAAACAAAAATCTTCCGATTCGAGATACACGAAAAAATCGATTTTGCTGAAGTATCTATTAAAAACTCGCATTAATTATTATAGGGTAATTTTCATTTTAATCTTAACAAGCAAATATTTCGAAAATATCAATTTTACAAAGAATTTCATTTACAAAGAAACATCCTAAATAAAAATTGTATAGTATAAAAGGAAACGTACAATCTTGATTTGATCTTAAGATAACTTTTATTTAAGATACGTTTCTTTGTAAAATTGTATATTTTCGAAATATTTGTCTGTTAATAATCATTACCAATTTGCCCGTTGATAATTAATCATTATCAATTTAGTCATTCAATCATCCGTCAGAGAAAGGGCGGTATTACAAGCTTCATTACTCAGTCATGCACGATTTACGGCGCGTAACGGCGTGTTTCCCATATCGCTGTGCCTACCGGAAAAGCGGATTTGTCACGCAGATGAGATTTCATCATTCTCTAACAACGGATCCCTCCTTCCCCTCCCAATGCATTGCAAGATTTCGCGAATTCTTAGGACTGTTCTTATGAATTACTTACCTCACCACGTTTGTGCAGAATCCGCTGCAGGGACTTACAGCCTCATTGATTCCCTTGCATTTCGGACAATAAGTCATCCTAAGCAGGGCATCGTAACAGGCCTCCTGCTGAAGACTGTTACCGTTGCTGGTAGCAAATAACACGTTGTCAGTCTTGTCGAGGACAGTTTTACCGAGTGTCAACGCCTGCACGAGAATCCTGGTAGCCTCCAGGCTCTTGCCGATCTTCTTAAATATCTCCTGCGGCGTGTCACCGAACGGTTGTATGTCGTCGATCCTCTCATACAGGCAGGATTTAAACTTGTCGGTGAAGTCCTGCCGATCCTGATGCGGATTAATGGCGTAATGATAGGCGATCGGGAAGAGCCGCGTGAAGAATTGGCTGATCCGCTCCTGCAGCGTTTCTCGCGTCAACGGCTGCTGCAGATTGTCCGGGGTGTTGGCCGGCGACACGTAGTCCATCATCGCCTGGTAGAGCGCCCGGATTGACGATCTGCTCTGCACCGCCATCGAGCGGTACACTTGATCGAACATGACCAGTGTCTTGTTCTCCGACCTCCGCAGCAACACGATCACCGTCTCTGCGCAGATGGCGGAAAGTGCTCGCTTTAATATTTAACAAGCGCGATTTAACGCGAAAATCCTCCGACCATTTTCTCCGCAACTCAATATCGAGGTTCGCGTAATCCTTTGGATCGGAAAAACCGCAAAAATATTGGAAGCTCGCGAAATTTTTTCAACCCTCGAGAAGATTTCTCCATCGCGGAGTATTCGATTTTATATATCATTTCTATATACATACATATATAGATAAAATTTGAAAGGCATTGACCAAAAGGCAATTATCTGCAAGCAGAGAATACATTTATTTAGAACGTGAAGACGGTAAAATTAGAAATCAGCGTCTTTGTACGTTTCTTGTAAGATTAAACGACAACAATACCGGGGATTAGCTCTTGAAATTCGAGTGAATGCCATTTTTCTCTGTATGTATAGAAAACATTTGCAACGTATATCTGTAGATTTTAAAAATATTTTCTCTTCTAAAAAACTATCATTGTCGAGCTCTTTTCTGTTTGTATTAAGAAAAGTTAAGAAACTTAAAATATACCTGAGGAAAAGACGATACTAAAATATCAAAAGAAAAAGTTAGTTTCGGGATAAGAAGGATAAAGATAGTCATTATCCTCGATACAGGCGTATATATAAAGCATCTATTTATCTTTCCCTGCTCCTCTCTTTTCTCCTCGCTAATTCTTCTAATCTAACTCGCTCGAATAATTCCTCATGCAAATCCACTCACTTGAGATTTTGTGAGTGGAGCGAGAAGAGCGTGCTTGTAACTAAGGACGAACGCGGTTGCACTTAATCGCACGAACGCGTAAAACGAAGAAGACGGACGATAAGTGCTCCTCAATTCCCGCTTTAGTTTCAAGTGGCCTCGGCAAGAATCTATACACGAAGGCCTAGAAACGTGCAACTTGCGGCTCTAATGATCTTATCAAAGGAAGTAGCGGCCGGCCAGGAAAAAAGTTTCGCGTATCTTTATTTCGATTTCGATAATATCGATTAGGATTGAAGTTTGTAGACGTACGATTATCATCGTGTAAAACACTAAGCTATACACTAGGTCTATTTTCTGTAGCGGAACTACACTGTTATAGATAACGAAATGGTAATCCAATCTCTTGAATTAAATAACATTTTCTTTTTAACTTCCATGTATGTCAAAATGTAAATCAATCCATCTCTGTGGTTAGTTCCAAAGTAAACATTGTCCATATTAGCATATACGCTTAGTGAATAAGAAATTAAATTTGAATTAAATTTAATACATTTTTCTAATTAAAAATTTGAATCCATTGTTTTAAATTAACAACACACAAGATAGGAGTGGCAAATTATGGAAATAATTAAAAATAACTTAAAGTGGGTAAAATTTGACATCAAATTTAACAATGTAGCGTATATTTTTGAAACTTAAAATAAAATAGGTACATGTTTGACATTTGGCAAAAGCGAGAAAGAGAGTTGTAAATGTTATTTGTGACTCTCAATATTTTCTCTCAATGTTGATATTTATTGGTTATTAAAAAATTTGACCGTAATAATGAAATATACATTTCTGTGAAATGTATCTCATTAATTGTAAAACAATAAAATACATAGATTTAGAGGCTTATTTGCTAAAGTTAAAATTTTATTTCGTCATATTAAATAAGAATTTTATTTCAATGAAATAAATATATATCTTGTAAATAAAGTTTGAAGCATCTTTTCCTCCGTGTATGATATAAAAAATTTATTATATTTAATAATTTAATTAATTTTAATTAATTAAATTAATTAATATAAACATTTTCATGACCCATATCTGCAATATCTGCGTAATTGATTTAGTTGCAATTTAGCGTACATTACTAAATATATATTTATTTCATTAAAATAAGATTCTTATTTAATATGGCGAAATAAAAATTTAATTAATTAAAATTAATTAAATTTATATATAAATTATAAAAAATCTATTTACATAATCAATTAAAAATTATATTAATATTTTAATTATGACTTAAAATAATTAAGGACTTTTGAAAATGAGATTACAAAAGTAAATTAAAATATGATTAATAAAAGTCTAACGCGGGCGACAGTATGTTTCATAAAATAATAAATTGATACATAAAAATAAATGTAATATGAATTATAATAAATTATGAGATATACATATTTATGAGACAATTTGAAGTTTCGAAAATTTTATTCGCGGTCTCGATGCACATAACTAAGAGAGAGAGAGAGAGAGAGAGAGAGAGAGAGAGAGAGAGAGAGAGAGAGAGAGAGTCATTCAAAATATTACCGTTTCTCTTCAAAAGATGTTTCTTTACGAGAAACATCTTGCATGATACTGAAATTGGACTCGCTGAGAACATACCGGTTCCGATATCTGATTTGCGACATTGCGCTCCAGAATTATGCTTCGAGGACGAAACTCGTAACGCGTTTCCCACCGGGATCGCAACGGAGCGAAGCGTAATTTATTTTTAAATGGATATATCTCGCGGTTGTGAAGCGACTAAAATTAACAAGAAATAAAAATACGCGTTGCGATATCCCGTAGCCGTCTTCTCTCGCCGTTTTTCTCTTTCTTTTTCTCTCTTTCTCCCGATAGAAAAACGGAAGCTTTTACATTTTCCTCCTGTAAAACGTTATTTGTCGAGGCGGATTATGCCCATGTTAATTCAGACTTCAAAGGCGGTTTACTACTCGGATTTGTTTTTCTTCAATTACCGACATTCCGTCGACTGAACAAGAATAAAGCTAACAATGTCCAAGCGCGTGCAAGCCCTTTTAGCACAAAATTACATCGATCTTAATCAAACAAGCGTGCAATGTAATCAGAAACATTCTATCGAATTCGATTTTCTGTTTATTAATGAAGATTGAGGGATTTGTAATAATAGTTTAGAATTTTAAATCTTTAAACAATTAAATTAATAATTGAATGTAAAGTAAGCACTACAAAAATATATTAATTTTAAATAATTTCATCTATAATTGATATTATATCGACAGTAAATTATATCATAGAAATTCTCAAATATTATACAAAAATAAATCTTATAAATTTATAAATATTTTTAGTGTATCAGTGCATAAATCTATAATGTAATTATACATTTTCATTTGTAACACAAAGGTATAAAAAAATACGCGGAAAGAGCAGTTTTGCTGTCTAAAAATTTATCTAGATGCAGATCTGAAAACAATTTTGTTGGACTATCAAAATAATTATGTAGTACATTCAAACTGGATGTTAGAATTTCGAAATTATGTTTGAAATTTCTACGTAATTATTTTGATGGTTTAACAAAATTATTTTCAGATCTGCATTTAACTAAATCTTTAAATATTTTCGTAAAATCGTTTGTCCCATATAGGCTTATTCCTTAGTTTGAAAAACTTGTTAAAATGCGTACATGTTAACAAACCAGATTCAATAAATGCAAACCTAAATTCGAAGACTCAGGGATCAGAAAAGGATTCTCGGTTTTCGCGAGGCCGCGAAGTGAACATCAACGTGAACTCATTCGCGAGGATACAGACACTTGGCGGCACAGAGAGAAAGAAAGAGAGAAAGAAAGAGAGAGGAAGGGAGAGGGGGAGAGAGAGAGAGAGAAAGAGAGGAAGCACATTTTTGCGGTATCGAAAATAGCAGAGAGCGGAGGCTGCGCTTGAATTCTAGACGCCGCGTTACCTCGGCAACGACACGCGCCTCGCGAACTCGCCGCGCCGCCTCCGCTTCGCGTTTCCGCGCGCGCGCTCCGACGCTTATCATCCTCTGTCTTACCTCGTTTTCCGTTTCTGCTCGGTACCGGTTAGCATGTACGCCAGTATAAATACCGGACTGACCACGTAATCGCGATGACTAAAGGCGCCGGTACACGGCCCGAATTGCACGATTTTGAAAACCTGTACGGTTTCGCGAAGCTGAAAAAAGTTTCTCGGAAAGTCGCAAAAAAGAGATGAAATCATCGTCTCGTCTCAATTGGGAACAAAAGCGAGACGAGTTCCCGCTGTCATCTTGCAATACGAATAAATAAAATGATACGCGGTGTAATTGAAAGTAATAAAGCGCGTAATGTAGAACGATGAAGATGAATCACGATTGACATCGCGCATTAATTTCTCGTATGTAAATTCCTCTCACGGCTCGAGATGAGGAGTGACATGTTTGCGCGGTCGATCTTACGCACGAGGCCGTTGCAGGAATTAAGGAGATAGATCGGTTGAAGCGACAGAGGGAGGATGATGGGAGGCCAGGGTTCGGAGAGAAGGGATAGCGGTCCGCTTTCTTGTCCCCGTATAAGGCGGCACGCGGAGAGCAACTCCGATTCTTCACCTTCGAGTCTCGCAGAGAATCTGAGAAAAAGAGAGCGAGCGAGAGAGAGCGAGAGCGAGAGCGAGAGAGAGAGAGAGAGGGAGAGACAGCACCGGAACTCGAAATCATGATAATTATCAGGGTTTTCAGTGTGCAAGGATCACGAATACGATGAAAGCGATAAATGCATCTTTTCAGAGAGATAGAAGCGTCCCTTCTTCCCTTTTGTCAAACTTTTGCCGATACACCGGCCAAGAATCTCCATAAATCAAAGATGCTGAACGGCGGGCAAAACGCGCTGAAAACCTTGTTATTCTAATGACAAAACATCGGAAATGAAGAATAAATCGCTGGTCACTATCAATGCTCGAAGGTGTTTTATGAGGAAAAGCGGAGTTTTATATTTTTCGAAGAATCATCGATTTATCTGATATTTAGTAAAAGTTCGACTCATCTCAAACTATGTATCTTTTATATGAACATTCATGTCATTATAAGCCTAAAATGTGAAAATTACATTAAAAACTGATTTTACGTGTCTGTTAATAAGTTGATTCTAATTAAATAAATGAACTACATTACACTGAAAGAAAAGATTGGTTACTGCAGTAAGTTAGATGGTTAAATATGGCATGGCATTTTTAATTGGCAGCAGCAATCAATTTTTTATTGCGTTAGCCAATCGAAATCCTATACATCGCGAATAGGCTAAAGCAATTAACAATTGGCTGCAGCAACCAAAAAATTGGCTGTTGCAGCCAATTAAAACTGCTATGTCATATTTAACCATCTAATTTGCTGCAGCAGCCAATCTTTTCTTTCAGTGTAATGTAGTGCATTCATTTACTTAGAATCAACTTACTAACAAACACGTAAAATCAGTTTTTAATGTAATTTTCACATTTTCAGCTTATAATGACATGAATGTTCATATAAAAGATACATAGTTTGAATCAGTCGAACTTTTACTAAATATCAGAAAAATTTCACTGTATAACTACACTATTTATTAACTAAATTATTTATTATATTATTTATTAATAATTTTATTATTTATTAAATCGTTTTTAATTAAGAGAGATTTAATAATCTGATTATTTTTCCAGTTAAATAATCAATTAAAATACTTGAATTTTTCAATGACCAGAATTGAGATAAATAATAATTTTGAACTCGATTTTAAAGTTTTCTTATCAAAATCGAGCACTTTCATAAGTATAAACCGAGTGCAACTTTCCACGTTATCACAAATATTTATATTAAGCGTACGTTTATATATCCGTTGAAAGTATTCAATAAGGCAGCGAACGCGTTAGAATGCAGTTCTAAGAGGTGGAGAATATCCTACCTCTGAGAGCGTCAGCGGTGGTGGCGAGGAGGCCTTGCAGACTTCTACTGTGATGATGGATCAGATTGTGGAAGTCCACATGGGCTTGTTGCTTCAGACGCTTCTCCATCTCTTCGCCGCAGCACTTGCCGCCGCATGTCGCTGGAAAGAAGAAATATTTCATTTTATTACCGAGCAACGTCACCCATTAAAGCCGACAGAAGTGCTCTTCCCCTTTTCGTTCGAACCGAAGTTAAATCGAATTGGGCCACGAGGGGTAGAGCCCCAGCTCAGAGAGCCGCGCGGTTAAATTGCATAAACTGCATAAGCCCGGTGATATAAGAGTTCGGTAATCTGACCTATTTGCGAAAATCACGGTCTCTATATCGAAAAAGACCGATGTAAATGAAATCCGAGTCGCGGGAATCTCTGTAATCCGACCGAACGGGAATTCTATTATATCGAATTGTTTTATCGCACACGCAGAATTTCATTTTATCGAATTAATCGGGATTTTCATCTTTCTACGCGCAATTTCACGCTCGTAACATTTCATGCGGATATCCGATGTATCGGATATTAACTGCGTATTATTTGCGATTCCGTTC